ACTTTTATCAGGTCCTTCTCAAGAACGTTAATCTAACTATAGAAAGAGGAGAAAAAATTGCCATCCTCGGTCCAAATGGGTGTGGAAAGAGTACTTTACTGAAGTTGATTATGGGTTTAAAGAGCCCAACCAAAGGTGAAATCTTGCTTGGGGATCATAACGTGGTACCAAACTACTTCGAACAAAACCAGGTTACTCCTAATTCTCTTATCATTCACGAGAAAATCCATGTATTCCAATGAATGGGGCAAAACATAACTTAATCAACCTTTTTTTATAATAGCATCTTTGTCCAAAAAAGGAAAGACTTCTGCTTGTAAACTGCAATATTGATGTGTGTACTACAAACACTACCCTTTATTGGGGGCAATGAAGTAATATTTGAATATATTTTATAAAGAGTATTTAATCAGAATTACAAATCTCTAGGCCTCTTTGTTAAGCGAAGATACATACCATATTCATTGTCAACGTCATTAAGCAATTTGAAATTAAACCATCTCCCTTAGTTAACTAATTTAAAACATAGGAATAAAATATTTTATACTGCTATCCCATAAAGATGGATACTTTTGATTTATGGTGAACAATTTTCAATTTTGGCCAATGTTTTTTACCAATATATATTAATAAAAAATATAAATATTCTGCTTACATTAAACCCTTGAGGTGGGACCCTTTCCGAACCCCGTCACAAGGATGCTTTGTGCACAAGGTTGCACTTTTTATTAAAAATGTTCTGCTTTTAGAAAAGTATTCTCAATGAAACATTATTCCTGTGCCTCAATGGCTCCCGCCCATTTTGGGCTAAGGGGAGTTACGCAGTCTGACCCCTATGTTTAAAACATAGAGCGGCTGTTTCCACATGACCTATGAGGAGCGTCGAAAGTTGCATTTACTAACTGCTAGCGTAGACAGTTTAAAAGAGTATTCTCAGTAAGGAACATTTTTATATTCCATATTACTTTTACACCATTCTGCAAAAAAAATGAAATTATCTGTCAAAGTTTAACATCTTTGGCAAAAAAAAAACAAACATAACATGTCTCTATGGGACAAAGGCGCATTAAATTCAAAAATCTTATACCTCATAGAATATAGAGAGATGGAGAATTTTAAAACACTAAGATGTTATTAAAAGATGCATTTTTATTATATACTCCGTGAATTTTATATAATACAGCTAGTCCATTTGTTTCAATGTAAACCAATAATTCAACTGTAATAATTTACTTATATAGGTCACGACATTAGCAAATGTAACTCGTATAGTTATTCTTACTTCTGCTAGAGCAATCAAAATGAATTGTCAACCCGTTCAAGATTTATTAAGCTCATATACTTCAGTTACACCCAAACATTTTTTTTAAATAGACAGTTGTCCCTCTTCTCTTATCCATGTGTCCTCCTGTGTTTTCATTGATAGAGCAATTTTGTATTTTGGTTGCTTTAAACATACTAATGTCAATGTTATTCACATGAGCAAAGATGATATTTCTGATTAGGCAGAAGCACTTGATTTGGGCAAGACAGTAATTGAGACTGTAGCTGAAGCTGCAGAGAACTGGAGACTAGATGATATTAAAGGACTTCTTGGGCGTTGTAATTTTAAAGCCGACATGCTTGATAAAAAGGTTTCAGTTTTGAGTGGTGGTGAGAAGGTAATGGAGCATTGGATAGCTATTTTTTCTGTATAAAAAAAGTTTTTGTTTGTTTGTTTCTATAGTTAAGGTGAATGTTGGTTTTGAATCCCCTTTTGGGTTTTCACTTTTATGCACCGACATATATATTAAAAGTTATTTATCAATTTTCAACAAGTTTATTAATATGTATCTTCAATTTTATTTTATGTTTGTGCACACAATGAAACAAACCACATCCTGTGGGTCTCTACTTGGCTTTTTGTTGTTGCGCCCAGTGAAACAAAATATATGTTATTGCAGTTGATCTTCCTTTTTTTCTCCTTTAGAATAGTAGCTTACCAAGTCGTGAGATAAGTGTGTACATATATATAAACGTGTTCTTTGGGTGGTTTATTAGGCACGCCTTGCCTTTTGCAAATTCATGGTGATACCCTCCACTTTTCTAGTACTTGATGAACCAACAAATCATCTTGATATTCCATCAAAAGAAATGCTTGAGGTATGATTCCCTTTTAAGCTTTCATTTTTGTCTAGGCACAAACATTCAACTTTTAAGGAGTAGCATATATCCTTCAATCACAATGCTTTAAAGTTTCATCTTTTCTTATTCTTAATTTCCTCCCTTACCTCATAAAAATGTCATTATTTGTAATTTTTCCATTTGTAGGAGGCAATAACAGAGTACCAGGGTACGGTCATAACTGTGTCACATGATCGATATTTCATAAAACAAATTGTTAACAGAGTGTTGGAAGTGAAAGACTGCACTTTACAGGATTATGATGGGGATTATGAAGTAAGTCTTGCTTATGTTTCCTTACACTTTTCTTATTATTAGCACTGCTATAGTATTGATGCTAAATTTGCTAAAACAAGATTTGGCATGTTGTTTTAGTCCTCAAGGTTTCATATCTCTGCTGATAGTACAATAATTTATAAATTGGCAGTATTATTTAGAGAAAAACTTGGAGGCCCGTGAAAAACAAATGGAGAGGGAGGCAGAGCTGGATGAGAAGTCCCCCAAAGTTAAATCCAAAGCAAAAATGTCAAAGGTAATAACACTGCACTGTGTTTTTTTATTATGCATGGCCAAAACTTGTATGAGACAGAGTCATATTCAAGGTAAGCCAAAAAAGTTTTGTACTCCCTCCGTCCCATAGAAAAACTTCTTTGTTTGACTTTCGCAGAATTTTAGAAAAGTCTTGAAAAGTGGAAATTTTATACTCCGTAGTTAGAATTTGTTTAGAGAAGAGAAAAGTTGTGAGCCACTCATTCCTTTCTTTAAAAACAAAGTGAAGTTTTTTTGGGAGGAACAGAAAGGGAAAGAGTTAAGTTTTTTATGGGACGGAGGAAGTACTTTATAAGTTGAGACTAATGTGAAGTATTAATGATCTTGAACCACCCTAATATGACCTAATGTGGTATGGTTCAAACATTTTGGGTCAGGCCAAAATGAAAAAAAAAGGGACAAACATAGTTAGGCAAGGGAGTACTATTTAACTGAATACAAATTAGGGAAAAAATTATACCGTAAAAGATATTCACAGATTTAATAAGTTTGTTTTAGATATTTGTTCAAACTCATTTAATTTATTAATCTCTACCATGGATAGACTCCCCGGACCCTATTCTTTTGGAAGGTTGTTACCATGGAAAGACTAAAAAACTCAAATTTTATTTATTTAATTATTTGAATCTTCTTCTTTACTCTTCAAAAGAAAAAAATACAGTATTTCCCCCCGATTATCCGTGTTCGCAAGAATGATTGTCATTAATCACACGCCTTACATTGCTACCGAGCTGTGGTGGCCTCCCCAAAACAGAACCGACAGATGAAACCGTTTGTGTGAACGACAACACAAGACAATGAATGTCATCATCTGATCCATATTTTTCTACCATTGAACAACACTTCATACACAGAATGAAGAAGAAGAAGAGTCTGGTTTTATTGAACGTGTACTAACACATTTTGTGGTTATGAATTGTGAACATTTTTTCAGGCCGAGAAGGAAGCACGGAAGAAGCAGAAACAGCAGTCTTTCCAAGCAGCCAACCAGAGGTCCAAAAAAACAAAGAACTCCAAGAGATGGAACTAAATTCATTCATTTCTTTTTTCAACACACAAAAAAGAAAAAATTGAAGCAACTCTGCACTGCTATTTGTAATTATTATTACTACTAGACTAGTAGTTAGTTGAATCAGCCAGCAGCCAACAACATTGTCTATTCTGTATGTACATATTACAAAAACAACAATTAATTTTGAAGAGAAGAATAAAAATTCTCATTACAAAATCTGGTCACTTGGAAAAGTGGAATTTTGTTAGGCTTGTTGTTGTATTATGATTTTCACAATCCATCATTCTTCTTCTGTGGGTTTTGAATGTTCTTTATTTTGCAGTTCCATTTACCAGTTATACATTTTTTGCTATGTCTTCTGCCCAGGGATATTTCAAAAGTTCTACAAGTCTTTTGCTGAATGAGATGTCAACAAATTGGCCTCAAATTCCTTTATTTGACACTTTAACTAATTACAAAAAAGTGGCGGGCAATGAATTGCGCGTGCGCCGCAACTCCTTTTGAATAGAAAACTCGATCCTATTAAAAATAAAATTAATGACCTTAGGGGCTAGAGAACCAAATGCATCGAAAGCAAATGGGATAAACATGTTTGATTTTTCTAAGCAAGCTTCCTCGTGTTTAGTCACTTTGCTTAATTCTGCCTTCAAAATTGTTTGGCCAACAATAAACCCAATATCCTAAGGCCAACAAGAGGGGACACCCCTTGTAGAATCTACACAAACATGTTCCCCCTTGCCCACCCAAATACAGGAATATCGGCTAGTCGTAGAGTAGATTTCCCTTCACGTGGACGAAATCTTTGTCCGCTTTAAAACATCACACATAGAACATTCCTGATCAAACCATATTTGTATGCAAAACCAAGTAAACTCCTTGCAATACACCGCCGCATGGTCGCCAAAGTTATCAAAACAAATCTTGTGGCAAACTGGGTAGGATTTGTCAACCGAAAATAGAGAGATCAATAACCAGTACTTAAGAATGACATGGTAGGTGACACGTGTTTGGCTCAGTCTTTCAATTGGGATGATTGTCAGAAAATCTTGAACATGAGGGGCCTGAAGACATTGCTTTTTGGCAATGGAATAGATCAAATTTCTCTTTTCATGAAGACCATACATCTAAAGGAAACCCTTTGAGAAGGATCAAAGCAGACAGAGGCCTATTGAATGGAGGAACCTTTGCTCACCAAATTTCTCTTGTACAGTTTTCATCATTCATTCATGTGAATGATACTCATACAGTCATACCATATGATTTATATTTTAGACAATCATGAATCATAATTTCATTGTTGAATACTTTGAGTGGACAACTAATTTTGAAGAGAATTATATATTTAAAAACCCAAAACATACCAAAATGATTTGACTTCATTGGCAAAACCATAATTCAAGAAAGAACTTGGACAAGATTGAATCTAAAAGATTCAATTCTATGGCGTTTTATTGGTTTCTCATAGAACTGCCTTCTCAAATCAAAAGTCTACTCCTCCTTCATATGAGCAGGCATTGAGAGAACATACTACAAACAAGAGGAACAAAACTAAACTCACACAATTCATTTCTTGGATGACGAGTCTTTGTTCAGCAGATATTTCTTGAGAACATCCATGATCGATCCGTAATCGGGCTTCACCTGAACCGGGGGGTTGGCGAACCGGCTCCCAATGTCCTTGATCGCGCCCGAATGATAATCAACCTTGGACTGGGTAAACTTCAGCCCGTGGGCAGTACTGACCACGACCGTCTTGTCCGTGGGCTTGATCACCCCGCTCCTCCTCAGCTTGATGAGGGCAGTCAATGCCACTCCCGTGTGCGGGCATATGAACATCCCGGTCGAATCAGCTTGAGCCGTGGCATCCATCAGCTCCTCCTCGGTGGCCTCCTCCACGATCCCGTTCGAGTTTTTCAAAGCCAAAACCGCCCGGTCGATGGACACCGGGTCGCCAATCTGGATCGCGGACGCAAATGTCGTATTTGCCCTCACGGGCTTGAAGTCGCCTTTCCAACCGGCTTTGTAATGCAGGTAGAGAGGGTTGGCATTTGCTGCTTGAGCACAGACAAGCCTGGGAATCCTATCAACAAGCCCTAATTCTCTGCACATGTGAAACCCTTTGTAGAATGCATAGATGTTGCCCAGATTCCCTCCTGGGATTATCACCCAATCGGGCACTTCCCAGTCGAACTGTTGAAGAATTTCAATGGCGGCCGTCTTTTGGCCTTCTAATCTCAGACTGTTGAGTGAATTGGCCAAGTAAATGGGGAGTTCAGATGTGACCTCTCGAATCAGCTTCATACAGCCGTCGAAATCTGTGTCTATGCTCAGCACGAAAGCTCCGTTGGCTATGGGTTGGACTAATTGGGAAATTGATATCCGATTTGCAGGGAGGAAGACGATGGATGGGATTCCGGCGGAAGCACAGTAGGCGGATAGGGCGGCGGATGTGTCTCCGGTTGAAGCACAGCCGACGCCGACCACCGGTTTGTTCATCTTCCTCAGCCGGTTCACCTGGCTGACCAGAACAGTCATTCCCAGATCTTTGAAGCTGCCGGTGTGGCTAATCCCACAGTGCTTCACCCACAAATCGTTCATGCCTAGAAACTGTTTGCCGTAACGCTCGGCCCAGAAGAGATTGGAATTACCTTCGAAAGCGCTGACTATGTCGTCGCTGGCGATCCCCGGCAGGACCCACTCCTTCTTCGACCAGACCCCGGAGCCGTACGGCCACGTGGTCTTCCCGACGCGAGAGTCGAAGAGGGAGCGCCAGTACTGGCCGTCGAACTTCTTCAGCGCGTCCATGTCGTGCTGGACGTCGAGGAGGCCGCCGGAGCGGCTGCGGTAGACGATCTCGTCGAGCGAGTACCACTCGTCGGTCGAGGCGGGGTCGGCGCCGAAGGGGACGTACCGGGCGGAGAAGTTGTGGGAGGAGCTGAGCCGTCGCGCCTCGTCGCGGATGTTCTCGTCGGCGGGGCGGCGGTGGTTCTTCTGATGCAGCGGGGCTGGGCCATCGGCGGCGGCGGCTTTGATCGGGTGGAAGGCACGTGAAGGGGACTTGGATGGTCGGCGCGGATTGGGTTGGGGGCAGGGAGAGACGAAGGTCGATCTGAGAATGGAAGAAGCAGCCGCCATCGTCGAGAAATTGTTGTGAGGGAGTCAGTCTTTTTTTTTTTTGCTGAATACGAAGAGGTCCATTTATTCGATGTAATTTATAGAGTGGGTCCAAACAAACTGCTTTACTTTTTTGAACAAAAATATACTTTACTCCCCACTTTGTACCTCGAGTAATAAGCCAATGTTTTGAGCATTAAAAATGTGACATAAATCAACTAATAAAAAATGATTCAGTCGTATAGTAGTAAATGAGTGGAGTGACATATTTTATAATACAAGTTGTTACTTTTGTCACTTTTTAAAATTTTTGTAATATATTTTAATTATTAAAACTAATTTTTACTATTTGTTTCTTTAAAAAAATACTTCTACTTCCTCACAAAAAGAGTTTTTTCTCAAAAATAAAAAAAAATTAAAAAGAAAAAAAAAGAAAAAGGTGTGGGGTGCCTTGTAGATGGCTTGCTCTCCATGGTGGAATGACTTGCCTCTCCATGCTAAGCATGACAAATTATTTCTTGGCAGCAGATGTGGCAAGCGTGGCAAGCATTTGCCTCGCCCATGTGGCAAACGTGGATATCCGAATTTTCGGATCGGATCACTGGATTATCCGAAAAATTGATTTTTTAGCCAAAATTTACAAAAAAAAGGTAAAATAGCAAAATTAACCCACAATATCAAATTCAATATAGATTTACTAAAAGAAAAATTTGACTACAAGATAATGGCCTAATAAAAAATTGATACCAAATTTAATTTGGGAGTAACTTTGGTAATTTTGCCTAAACAAACAAAAAAATTACTATTAAAAAAAAGTTTTAAAATGCTAATGCAAAAAGCCCAAAATGCTTTAGTTCCAAAAAGAACATAAAATTGCATTAAACACATACCCATAATATATATTCATAAAATTCCATTAAACATATAAGCAAAAAAAATCGGATATCCGATTATCCGAAAAATTCTAGAAATTGAATCCATATCCGATCTGATTTTTTTCGGATATCCGATCCGGAATATCCGAAAGCCAAGATATCGGATCGGATATCCGTTTTAAGGATCGGATATGCACGGATCATGGACGGATTTTTCGGATCGGATATTTTTGAACACCCCTACTGCCAGTGCTCTTACAATGACACACATTCATCCATTAACATTTTGTATTCGACAATGATGGTCACACCCGTTAAATCACTAAATCATACATGCAAAAATTATTACACCCTCTGTCGAACTTGTATCTAAAACTTAAAAATATTATTCTAATAAAAAATTTAAAAATATCCAACATGTATTTAATTTTATTATTTTTTAAAAATAATTTTTAATTTTAAATGTAAAGTTTGTCATCTATTATTTTAATATTTATATAAATAAATTAAATTTCATTATTATTACATTCAATGGCTCTTAAATTTTCATACAACTTTTAAATTTTTAAGTATTATACCAATATGCATTTTACCTTTAAGCATTTTAATATAATTGTTTTATTAGTTTAGAAAAATAATAAAATTTAAATTTTTTCTTCAAAAAATTATAATGGTATCCTACTTCTTCGATATGGTCATTGCTTCTGAATAGCTATCGTTATGTTTTAAAATATTTTTTTCATACGTGTGTTCCTCATTTAGCTTATTGTTTTTGAGAAATAATAAAACTATTGTGTTAATTAAAAAATAATATGGTAAAATGCATATTGTATGCTACTAATTAGAAAATAGAAAGTGTTTTTTCATATAATATGGTATGTAGATGTAAATAAATGGAAGTTATATTAATTAATGAAAAATTAAAGTAACTATTACCAAGGTATTAAATTTAAAATTTATAATTTTTTTGAAAAATAATGAAATAAATGGTTGATTGTTTTAAAAAAATTTATAATATTTTTCTATATTAATAAAATTTAAACAATTTTTTTAAAATTATGCATCATGTGGTGCATTTAGTTGACAAGTGTGTAGATAGTATTTTAGAATTCTAATACACATTTTTAATTTACACCAAGTGATATATCATAACATTGTTGATTAATTTTTTACTCTAATTTCTCTAAAAACGCTCGTGATTTGCACAAAACAAAACGAGATTTAAGATTTTTAATTATTTTTATTTCAAAAGCAATGTAAATTTAAAAACAAAAATTACATATTTATAGCATACGTTAAAAGTCCTACAAAACATTACGTGGCAATAGTTTCTTATTTTATAAAAATATTCCTATTGTCCAGCTACCCCAAGCCCAGCTCTGATACACCTCGTGTGGCCCCTATGTTACTAAAATATTAAATTTTCTTAAAACATTATTTTCAATACATTGATCTTTATATAATTATTACTGAAATTTTAAATTGTCTAAAAACATTAACCTTTATTTAAATATAAATTATTATTGAATACTAGTACAAAAATAACTTTATTAAATTCATTTTATGAAAAATTAGTAAAAACTTATTTTACTTTATTAATATGCGTTCATATAATTGATGAATAAATTTTGGTGAAATTGACAAGAATACTTCCAGAAATTACAGATTTTACATAAATACTCCCAAATTTATTTATTTACATCATTACCCCCACATTTTTCTTTTATTTACATCATTGCTCCCAAATTTGGTAGTGATCATTAGTGTTACTTGGATGCGTTTTTTCGCGGTAAGTGAGCAGTTAAAATGCTGACATGTATTTTTCACTCTAATATACTAAATTTATCTCAACTTATTCTTTTCAACGACTTTCTCACGTCTTAATAAGCCTAATCATTGTCCTTATTTTCATCACTTTTTTAAAAAAATTCAGATTTTAAACTTTTAAATCTTTTTAATGTTTAATATCAAGTCTGTTCATAATAATTTAATTTGAATTCAATAAAAAGATGAAGAACCCCGTTTAAAAAGACGCACCCGAGGAACATTGATGATGAAGCAATTGCAGAGTAATGACGTGAATAATAGATAAATGTGAGAGTAACTATGTAAATAAACAAATTTGAGAGTATTTATGTAAAACCTGAAATTTCGGAGGTATTCTTGTGAATTTTTCCATAAATTTTTATCCTTCCCAATAAACTAAAATCCTCCCACTGATAAGTGATTGGGAGAGAATAATTAGCAAGAAAATTTCATTATCGTAAGACGGAACTAAAATCCTCCCACTGTTTAACAGAGAAGGCTTGCAGCGCAAAACCCTAAATTCTTGATGCTTTCTTTGAAAACACCATGAGAAGAGCTTTCAATCTATACTCTCGCAATCTCTACCGCTTCTCTCATCATCTTAGCATCAAAGACCCGATTCAAATTCGCTCAAGGACCAGCGGTTTGATCGATGCTCCATTTCACGACGCTCACAAGCTGAGATTTTCATCATCGTCTGGAAATGAAGATCTGTCCAGCGCTAACAAGCCCGACATTTCCCCGCAGACTGATGAAACCAGCTTAACCCAACCAAACAACACTCGGGTTCCACCTGAGATTGAGGATGTCAGCAATAAAGGTTTTGATTTTTTTTCCTGGGGAATTTGTCTTTTTGTACTTCTGGGTTCTTAATTTCACTCTTGAATCCTCAAATAGTCTGTATGGATTGTTAACATCTTATTGCGAGTCCGTTTCGTGGCATCATGTTGGCATTGTTTACCTATTCTCCTGATTGCAATAAGCAGAATGAATGGCCTTTTACTTATTTTTATGCTGAATTGTATCTTTCTGAGCACTTCTTCTCTCAGAAATTCAGCAATTTTAGCCAAATAACTTTTTTCTGAACTGGTTCTATACCTTTTTTTGTCCTGTTTATCGGTTACGTGTAACTTATAGAGATTGTATTTTGAAGGAATTGCGGTTTTATCATCGAAGTACGACTTTTGAAACTATGTAGCTGTAGACCCCTAGGCAACAACACTATAAGGAGTCTACTTGTTCACCTCACTCACTTTGTTGCTGTTGTTTCAGAGCTGAAAGAGATGCTATATGACTACTTCAGCAGTAATAATAAAGATGTTCTCCCCAATATCATCGAGGCCATTATGAAGAGGAGATTAAGTGGGAAGCATGATGATACAGATGATGAGATAATGGAGGACATTCGAATGAGCCGACTAGAGCCCGTGGATAATATTGATGATGAAGAGTTTGAGCATGATTTTGAGGAAGCTCATTCGACCGATGAAGAAATTGACAATTTGTATGATGCATCAGATATTGTGAAGAAGAGAGTGGCACGTGATGAATATTTCAACATGGATGCAAGAAAGTGGGATGATATGATTAAAGAGGCTATTTCACATGGACATCTCAAGGATACCAAGGAGTGTGAAGAGATATTGGAAGACATGCTTCACTGGGATAAGCTTCTCCCTGGTAATATAAATATTTTTGTTTTCCAAAGAAAATAATGGAAATTATGTTGTGTTTTGCACTGCCTCAACTCATTTTGTGTAGATTTGTTAATTTTGGCATCTTTGACAACTTGAAAATGTTCATCAAATGTTATCTCCAACTGGACCCTTTATGATTTCCATCCGTATGGATTATGATATTCAGATTTTGAGTAACTATAGTTTTGTTCCCTGAGAATTCTATATGATATATTGGTTTCTTTTCTTTTGTTTTCTTCACTCATTAGATGAAATTAAGAAGAAGGTGTCTGAAAAGCTCGATGAGATATCTCACATGGTTGACAAAGGTGAACTTGAAGCTGAAGAAGGCTATGCGTTGTTCAAGGAGTTTGAGGATCAAATGGTTCTAGAATGTACTGAACTCATGAAGGAGGAACCCTTGCAATTAGACGAGCCCACCGTTGCTGATAAGAAAAAGGATGTGGACGACCCACCAGGTGAGGGGCCTATCCTTAGGTGGCAAACTAGGGTGGTTTTTGCTCCAGGTGGTGATGCATGGCACCCAAAGAACAGGAAGGTGAAATTGGCTGTTACTGTCAAAGAGCTTGGTCTTTCAAAACATCAATTTCGGCGTATGAGGGCATTGGTTGGAAAACGTTACCATCCTGGGAGGGATGAACTTACCATCACGAGTGAAAGGTGAGCTCACGTGCATCAGCTTTATTTATTAAACTCAGTGAGGCACCATTTCATTATTACTCCATTTTTTATTGTGTTTGTTTAATGACATGGAAAATGATGCTTTTCATGGAACATAAGAGGTAAGGTGGACGAATTGGTTTGTGGTTCCATTTTTTGGGTGCAATTTTGTGTATTCAGTCTAAGAAAACAAAGC